TTTGCCCAGCATATATAGCTGAGGAGATGGAAGAACCTACAAGTTCATCTGTTATACAACTGCCATTGTTAAGTAGGAAGGAATGAATATTCAGATTTCTTTGCTATTTTAGGGGAAGCATAACTTCAGCAACCACTTATTCTGTTAAGTGGATCTGACCCTATGAAAGAAAGGGAGGGAGGGAGGGAAGGAAAAAAGGAAGGAAGGGAGGGAGGGAAGGAGGAAAGAAGGAAGGAAGGAAGAAAGAATGGAAGGCAGGCGGGAGGAAGGGAGGGAGTGAGGAGAAAAAAGAAAGAAAAAACAAAAACCTGATGGTAGTAGAGAGTTATTGACTTTGGTAAATACCTTATGATAGACTGCTGCCTATTGAAAATTTGATTTCTTAGGGCAAAGAGATGATGTATGTGATGAATAATATGAAAAATATTTCCTTTTGAAACTTGCACTAAATTTCTTATATTGTTAAACTGATAATTTGACAAAGTAATTCTACCTATGCTTAATCTTATAAAATTGTCCATGACAATGTACATATTTTTCAAATATAAAATATTACTTGAGACAGACTTTTAAACATAGTGTCTAGGGAGTTTAAGAAAAATACAAACATTTCTTATTTTTCAGTTTGAACATTATATTACTTTTCTTCCCTCTTCCCCAAAATACAAATATATTGGATTAGTAACCAGATTAGCTTATGACCCTTTTTGGCTACTTCATGAAAATATACGAAGATTGAGTATCCCTAATCCAAAACCCAAAATACTCCAAAATACAAAATTTTTTGAGCACCAACATAACACTCAAAGGAAATCCTTATTGGAGCATTTTGGATTTCGTATTTTTGGAGCTGGGATTCTCAACTGGTATAATACAAATATTCTAAAATCCAGAAAAATCCAAAATCTAAGCATTTGGCATAAGGGATACTCAACCTGTAGTGTGATCAAACCTTTCTATGATGGACTCTTGCCCATTACTCAACTCTATTATTATATGAAAGAGGAAATGCTTTTAAAAGGAGAAAGGAAATTTTCCATAATTCAAGTATATGCATTCTCCCATGATTTTCAACTCATAAAATTATTAAATGTGTCAAATTTATATATAACATGGCAATTAACTTAAAAAAGTTGTTTGAAGGGACTGTTGGCATTGGCTTTATAGATTTTTAAAAGCTAATTTCCACATATTGGCCATGTACAGGACCATGACTGACATTAATCCTATAATAGGTGTCTACTATGCTTCCCACTTACTACTGACTCTCTGGGCTGCTACAGTTAAGACAACCTGCGTACACTTATGCTTTCTCCTCAACAGGCATCTGAACACCCCTAATCAAAGCAGAGCAGCAAGAGGAAACTAGCTTTTTTAAATTATATGTGTAAAATAATACAATTGTCAATTCCACCTTAAGTGCTAAGTGGATCCTATGTTGGCACTAATCGAAATCACACCTTCCGTGTGTTACAGAACTTCAGGGAACAGGGATTCATTCAGCCTTCTTAGATGCCTTTTGATTTCAGGAAACTGTTTTCAGTCAATGATTATTGGAATACATTCTGTCCAAATAGAAACATTTGAAATTTTATAAAATCTGGACGAATCACAATGATGATGGTAGTGAACAAGATATTTGCATCTCTGGACATGCTGCCTCTGTCAGTGCTGCCTGTATGCAGGGGGTCGCTTGCATGCAATGCTAACGCTGCACAGTGCAGGTATAAAACAGATTTTATTATTTAGAGAAGAATTTATAAACAGCCACGTAGCAGCAGGCACACAATCCCTTGAACTCTCATCCCACAGCTTAGGCTATGCGTGGATGTCTGCCTGCACCATAGCCGCAGCTCTGGTAGACAGTGTTCTATGTATTGATGAGGCCAGGCACCATCTATGTGATCGTATAGTAATGGAAGATCTCTGGTCAGGGAAATGGCCTTATTAGAAAGAGAGAGCCTCTGGAGCCCAGTGGTTGCTATCAGCCTATTTTTTTGTTCAGAGGAGCCAGTTTTCCGCTCAGCTAGCAAAAGAGGGAAGGAAATGCGTCTCCGGAGCCATCCAGGTTTCTCTCTTGCTAACCACAGGTTTACTGTTCTCTTTACCTGATTGTAAGCAGTTTGGGAGAGATGATGTTGTGTGGATCTTTGCAACTTCTGTGGTGCCCTGCCTGTGGCTGAATGCTTAATACATACCTGTTGACTGAATAAATAAAATAACA